GCTGCTGCTGCTGCTGCTGCTGCTGCTGCTGCTGCTGCTGCTGCTGCTGCTGCTGCTGCTGCTGATGCTGTTGCTGCTGCTGGTGTTCCTGCTGCTGCTGCTGCTGGTGCTGGTGTTGCTGCTGCTGCTCCTGCTGGTGCTGTTGCTGCTGGTGCTGGTGTTGCTGCTGCTGTTGCTGCTGCTGTTGCTGCGGTTGCTGCTGCGGTTGCTGCTTCTTGTGTTGCGGCTACTGCTGCTGCTTGTGTTGCTGCTGGTGTTGCTGTTCCAGTTGCTACTGTTGCTGCTACTGCTGCTGCTGCTTTTTCTTTTTCACCTGTTATCTCCTGCCCTTCTCATTTCTTTTCTCTTACACCTTCCACCTGCTAAACCCTAAACCCTAAACCCTAAACCCTCGTGGTGGTTTTTTTGCTGCTGCTGCAGTCATATCACGGCTGGCTCGACGTCTCTCGTCTGCTCGCAACCTTAAGAGATTCTCCCCAAGGGGGGGGGCCCCCCTGGGGGGCCCCCTGGGGGGGCCCCTGGGGGGCCCCCGGGGGGCCCCCCAAGGTGATAGTGAATTTAATTGCCTGCTGCAAGTGCCGCCAGTGCGGAAGATCCGTGAGACCCCAAACCCTAAACCCTAAACCCTAAACCCTAAACCCTAGACCCTAAACCCTAGACGCTGAGTTGTTATGCAGGAGTTGATCCCCAATAGAAGTATGCTGGTGAGGAGTTAGGGTTTAGGGTTTAGGGTTTAGGGTTTAGGGTTTGTGTACGCCGCAGTTGTATCGGCTACGATGACGCGGAACCCCAAGGCGCTGCACGAGCTGCAGCTTTATAAACCTCTCTTTTTCTTCTGCTCTCCAACAGGTATCGAGGGTTTAGGGTTTAGGGTTTAGGGTTTAGGGTTTAGGGTTTAGGGTTTAGGGTTTGTGCTGCTGTATACTTGCTTGCAGCAATGGAGCTCAGGTTCCTCTTCCTCTGAAACGCTAAACCCTAAACCCTAAACCCTCGTTGTGTCTGCATGCTATACTCTACCCCCTACCCTCATTCAAAC